ATTCTTCACCTTTAAAAATGCAGAGCAGGAAAAGAGGCTCATTCAGTGAGTATATGATGTGGAGGAAGATACCATGAAACCAGTGAATCTTGTTATGAATGTTTTTAATTTCCTGTTTAAGCCCTATATAAAATGACCTACCTGAACTGCTGAGAGAAGAGGAAATTTACATGATTAAAATAAGACCTGCAAAGAATACCTTGAAAGGAGGGAGTAGGAATGATGGAGATAATAATTGGTATCGAGCCATGTAATTTGTGGTGCCACACAGCACCATAGATTTCTTTTTCTGAATTATTCAGTGCATCCTTTGGTGCTGTTAATGGGCTTGTGCTGTTTTCCACCAGCTTAGGATCTGGTCGATTGCCTTCGTAGGGAAAATTTGCTTTACATTTGCCTTAAGCATTAAGACAGATTTTTCTCATGCTTCTTGCTACTAAGTGTTACCTTGATATCTCATTCTGGCTCCATTTAAGTCTTCTGAAAAACTTGTGTGTGTGACAGGACATCACTTTTTAGCTCAGAAATAGCTAGGTTTCAATGGGTATTAAATTCCAGGAGGAGTGGCAGAACCTGGGTCTTCTCTAGGTAGACATTTCACCCAAGAAACTTGCAGTTTAAATCCAAATGACAGCAAATGACTGAAATTGATGGGTAGTAATTTTGGTCTGTCTGTAGTTTGCACATAAAGGGCAGGAGAAAGATTGTTGAGTAGCTGTGCCATAAATATTTATAATACTTTAGCTCCTTGTTCAGAGGAAAAAAAGAACCCACAGAGCTTGCAATTACAATCCTACAAAATGAGTAAGTGAAACAAAGTTCAAGGTAACCTTTTATTTCCTAGTCATATTTTTTCACATAAATGCCCTATACTACTAGAAGTTTCATGTTTTACTGTCCTAGATTGCCTTGAACTAAAAGCAATTACATGACACACTCCTACTTTAAAGCCATTAAATGGTGCCTTGCCAAACATCCTCATTGCAGTGCATTAGAGCACACTTATGGTTAAGTCATGAGCAACACAAGATACCTTATGTTTCCATTGCAGAGAGAGAGTCAAATGGCAGCAGCACCCACTGGCTTTTATTTCCTGTATGCCACTTGTGAAAATGATAGGCCAGTATAAAAGTTTCATGTGGTCCCAGTCAGTATTATTTACGCTGACCTGGTTTTTTTTTCAGCAGTGGATTGTTGGGCTTTTTGCTGCACTGAGTGACTCAAGCTATTTTGGATCCTCAAAATTTTGAAGCAATGGATCAGGGGTGAGCTCCATAGGGAATTATTTTCCTCTGACAATGCAGGACTCATAGAGTTCTTCCATCAAAGTGAGGTGTGCTCATATATTTATGTATTGCACAAGAATATGTCCTATCTCAGGATCTTTGCAGCCTGTTCAATTTGCAGAATGAAAGATTAATTACATTATGCTGGCAACACCTTCAAAATATTGATGGAGCTTATTGTTTCTCATATAACCAACAGTTACTATAGCATCTTCTGATCAGATTGAAGGATAGAAATATATTAAAAATTCAAAGTAGATTAATTTCCTGTATGAACCTAAATTGATTTCACACATACGTGTATGCTAAAGTGACTGGAGCCATCAAAAAGTAAATTGTAGTCCTATTCATGGAAGGCAAAAGAGCAGATGTTTACAGAGTGTTTTCAGGAGCAAGCTTAAAAAAATAGTGTAATAACTCAAAGAGCAGTTTCAAACATGTTAAAAGTTGCACTCCAATATCCCCATTGTTCTAAATTATCCAGTTTGAATCTCAATAAAATTTATAAACTGTGAGTCTGAATAGGATATTTGTTTTAATATGAAACATTATTAAAATCCATTGGGTTCATTTCTGGAAACCTATATGTCTACGAGTTCTACCAATGTGCCTATATGCAAGGCAGGAAAATCTATAGCACCACGAGAAAAGCTAATGAGATTATAAAAAAGGGCTAGCCCTTACCCAGCTTTGCCTGATTGCTGGGTGAGGTCTGGGAACATACATTTGGCAAGTCCACAGAAACTTCCTGCTAGCAACACTCCTGCTCTTTTCTTGAAAACAGCATTGTGTATGTGCCAAAACTTCAGCTTGGCCAGCAAGAACTTGACCAGTGGAGCTCCAGAAGGAGTAGGAAAGAAAAGCGCCAGGACTTTCCTGCTCTGGCTTCCATAACACTGCAAACCCCTCACTCCTGGAGAGCCTCCCACAGACTCACTTCCCCTTCTCCTCCCCACTCAAGCAGACTAATAGCTGTCATCCAGTGCAGGACTGGCCTTCCTTCACCATTTTCTCAGCTCCTATGCCCTGTCATCGCTGACCACCAATTAGATCCCATTGCTTAAAAGTGCATTTATCTTTCAACAGGCACGGCATCTTCTTTCATACACCTTCCACCTGCCAAATGACATCTTCGATAAATTTATTATCAAAACCAGACCACTCAAGCAAATACGGTATTTTTTTAATGCACACTCTGACTAGGTGATGCAAATACCTGTATACATACATTCAGCCAACATGCCCATCTGCTTGCATTTCCTCAGACGGCACTCCTGGCATTTTCTCCTCATGTACATGTCCATCTCGCAGTTGCCTCCGTTTTTACACTTGTATACTGCATTTTTTGTGATGCTTCTTCTGAAGAATCCTGCACAAAACAGCAGCGTAGATGAAAAAAAAGATTCAGAAGCAAAGTCATCAAGGTGAAGTTCACATCCATCTGCACTGAATTTTCTGAATGACACATGTTCTGCCTGACCATCAGTTTCTTTCAGTGCCTGGATGACTACATTCTTGATACTTGTACTGACAACAGTATCCAAAACATATAATTTAATAAATAAGCCCAAATTCAGACCCAAATCTAAAACTCGCCAGTAGCAGGCTGGGCACCAGCACTAGAGCCATAGGGTGATACCGTACAAATAGCCAGTGAAAAAAAACCCGACTCTGTTAAGTCTCTTGAGGTTCAGAATGTGAAGAAAGAGAGCTGAGTAACTCTTCACCCTTCCTCCAGCTCAGTGGAGCAACAGAATCTCCCCATACTGGTCTGTTCACCCGCCCTCAGGTTTAATAAAGAAGCTTCACTGTATCTGCTTTTCATAGATGTAGCCTCCATCCCTCTTTACAAGATACTCCAGCCTTATTCACTAAGTATTGTCCACTTGATGAGTTAAGTAGTCACATAATTTCACCTGCACAGGCAGTTCCACTGGTATTGTTGCTGGATTCACTCGAAAATTGCACAATAATCACTGCAAACAGCAACTGATACAAGAAATTGAGAGTACCATTCCTAAGTCTGTCCAAATCTCCTATTTGGCTGCTGCCCATCTGTGAAAGCTGCACTGTGGGCAAAATATGGGGTATACAAGATACTAAATGTGATTAAATAAGGGTCATCAAAGCAACAAAATCTTTGCTGTCAATGTTCCCTGAATTTTTAGTGTTACTCACTGTGTCATTATAACTTCTTACATTGCCTTTCACATGGCAGAGCCTATTTAGCATCAGCTATAGTGGGAATCAGTTTTCCTCCCCATGTGAGGGCAGATTTCTGAAATAAGCTCCTGAGAGCTTCTGCTGCCACATCACCAATTTACACTGTGCTTCAAACTGGAGCTCTGTGTACATTTATATTAACCAGAGCTGTTCAAAAAGCTTTTGCTTTCATATCACCATTGCCTGGCACAATAAAGCTATTGTTTTCCCACCTGGCACTCTGATGCATTAAAAGAGGGACCAGATAAGAGCTAGTCTCCCATACTAAAATCATAGGGCAAATTCGGTTGTGAATCTAAAGGATTGTCTGTGTGTTTGCAGAATTGTGCATTGTCAGATGACAATTTCCCAAATTTGACCCATGGTTTTATAGCTGCCTAATCTCCTCCAAGCACCAGTGTGTAGCAACCAGTAAAACAATTCCACTGCCTGGTCACAAAAATCTGGCATTTCTCTGAATCTTCACTAATTCCTGCTTGAAATCTCTTCCATGCTGTCTGTTTTATCGGCTGCTCTTCAAACAAATACAGTTGACTGGCATCAGTCTCTTTTGAAATGCAGATTACTTAGAACCTCCAGAAGCCCCAGGCATTATTTTTATTCATCACTCACATGATTTTCATACATTACCATTTACTGGTCAGGGAAGAGGAAAAAAGCCTGGATTTAAGCTGTAAATTCTCGCTGTCAGTTAAAGGCAATTGCATCTACTTTATATCATTTATAATTTTATTTGTAAATTTTAAATCCTATAGTTTAAGATACATTAATTAGTAGTAAATGCTGAAAAGTTTGACTTGAAGGGACTCTTGAATCACTGGTTTTTTGAACAGACTTCTTCATAACTAATTTTGAAATTAGCTTTTGGTATGAATGAAATTTCTGTATATATTATTCACTACTAATTCAAAATGAACTTACACTGCCACAAATACTTATATGTGACTTTCTATAACAGGAGTTTTACTAAAATTTAAAGATAAGTCAGAAACAGAATATGTTAAAAAGGGTTAGCAAACTCAAAAGCTGAAGGTTTTTCTGGCACAGTCTTACTCTCATCTGATCTCGCCAAATCGCAAAAATCTTATGTTGGCTGGAAATGTTGAATATGCTTTATTCTCAGATAGTCATGAATATGATTAATTATGGTAGAGCTGCTCCAATGTTACTGATGGTGATTTTTTTCTCATGGAAATTATGAAAGTTGAAGGAGTGCCATTGTAAAAAGAGTAGATTAAAGCTTTGGAAATACCTCTTTTTGGCATCCTGATGGCTTAAGTTTAAAAGTTTTTTAAATTCACAACTGCTAACAAAGCACCTGCTCTTCTCTGTCAGACTATGAAGACATCTTCCACCTTTCCTTTGCCCCATTCCCCCATGGTGGGTGTTAGTGTGAGGAGAAGATTAAAGAGGGACCCTTCTTGGCAAGAAGAATTCTAGTCTAGTGTGAGACACATCAAGTACAGGAGTGGTTTGAATACTGCAAAAGCTCCTACTGCAAGCCTGCGTGGAGGGGATGTGAAACTAGCTTTTCATAGAGTCATAGAATGGCTTGGGTTGAAAGGGATCTCGAAGATGGGCACTTTTTGTTTCAACAGAACTTATTCTGTGGGTCGATTAAACAAGCACAACATTATGTCACACTTGTTCTGTAACACCTAGCAATGGCCTTTAAAACCTAGTATAACTATCCAGGCTGAGGCTGTACCAGAATGTCTCTGATGTCAGACTGCAAAGTTTGTTTCAGAAATGGTCTCTCCACAGTAGCAAGTTTAAACACAGTGTATTTCCCCTTGTGCTGTAAATATTTTGTCAAATATTAATGAAATAGTTCATACACATTTGTTAATGTATGGTAATGTATTAAGAAATATATATATATACACATACATATATATAGACTCCTGCAAATATCTTCAGATTAATATTCTCATAAGGACAATAGATAAGATTCTAATATTGTTCCATCTGCCCAAGAAAAAAAACCCAAAGAGAATGGAAAGTGTTGCTGAATGCATTACCCAAGAAAAAAAAATTAACATATTCTCGCAGAGGATTGAATCCCATAAAAATATGTGCAAAGCTTCTTCCTCTGAATAAGAACATCCACTGTATCAATGGAGCAGAGGTGCTGCAAGGTGACCACTAGTCCTACAGAAAGGGACCTGCATATTATTTTGGACACATACTGAGCATGAATTAGCAGTCTTGTTGCCAAAAAGAGGGATAATCTCATAGTGAGGTGCAAGACACAGTCACGTGTGGTAGTTACTCTACTGCACTGATAAGAGCACAACTGAAGTACTGAGCCCAGTTTTGGTCTCTGTGTTCTGAAGGTAATGTATACTCATGTGAAAAATTCCACAGATAGCAAGAATGACCAAGAGATCTAGAAAACATAGTATCTGCTTTGCCTTGTCAGGCAGAATTACTGTCCTCAGCACATCTCTTTACTGAATCAGCTGGTACTTTAGTCACCTTTATTGTAGAGACAGAATCCATTATCCTTTAGTAATTCACCTTTTACTATGTTTGATCAAGAGTACTATTCTTTGTAATTGATGTTGCAGTCATGAAACAGAACAAAAATATAAAATAGATTATCCCAATAAAGCAGTAAAATTATGGTTACATAGAGTGATTCAAACTGAATCAGTAGGGAAGTGGATGCACTTTTCCTTTCATTATGGGTTTCAGTCTGAATATTTACCTGATAGCTTTAACCTCTCTTCTAGAAACATTCTATACAAATTTCAAAGTTTTTAATTTTAAGTCTTTGAAAAGTTTGTCACACATTTAATACTGAAGTTAATAAAGAGAAGGAACAGTTTACTGTAAGACTAAATTATCATTACTTGGAGTTGTCACATCAAAATTGAGTTTAACAGTTTATAATGACAGCATTAATATGACTTAATTTACAGCTTTTGACTTGGAGACTATTCACTCAGACAGCAGAAAGAAATGAATCTCCTATTTATTGGAATTATTGAGATAAACTGTGTGACCCTTGACTGTATCCATGTTTAGAGTGTTTGACTATTGCAGTTGTTTTTTTCCTCACAAATGATTTTGTGATAGGTAAAGCAAAAGCCCCAAATTAGGTCCAGGTCCACTCTCTATAACAGTGAATTCCATATTAAGATATTTTAGTAATTTGCTAGTGACTATGCTTTAGTCTTTATTCATAAAACAGAAATCTTAATAAAATATTTATTCACAGAACAGGATGAAAAAAATGGGGCACTATATTTCTGGCCATAATGTACCTCAGCCTTGTCATAGATATATTATACCTCTTCAGATATCATAGTTGACATAACCTCTTGTCCCTCTCTGTTAAAATATCTAACAATCATGTTTACCATAACAGAAATTATTTATTACATCACATTTATCCTGATAATAATATGTGAATAATATTCTTCTAAGAAGCAAGATTTGTCCTACAGATACAACCTTCCCCCTGAAGAAGGTTCCTCCCTACAGATAGGGGCTACCCTTAGAAGAAAGTCTAGAACTAGAAATCCTTTCATTTCACAGACCTGAAGATGCTCATCATGTCCTTTGGGAGCTGGGGGAAAGAGAATCCCTGGGAGCAGCCTGCAGGTGGAGGCTGACAACTTTTACTTCCCTTCAATGCACACTACCAGAGGCACTTGGGCTGGTTTTAGCTGTTTTCTAGGGCAGCCTAGCACTCAGCTCCCAGGGGCCTCCACGGGCATGTTCCTTCCACAGGCAGAGCATGGCATGAGCAGCTAACACAGAGAGCAGAGCCAGGCTGGCAGTCTCCACAAAGCTGTCCTTCAGTTCACCAAAAACTAATGGTGCCCAAGAGCTGTGGGTTGGCCTGTTATGCTGTATAACCATAGGGCAATGGTAGAAGACATTGCCAGTCTGTCTTGGGGAAAATGTAGAGTAGGGTACACAGGATCGAAATGCAAATCTCTAATGTGTTAATGATTTGGATAAAATGAACAAGAAAAGTAAAAATTAAAAACAAACAAACAAACAAACAAAACCCAACCCTAAAAACCTGAGAAGCTGCTGTGCCTATTAGCTGAATTGATTTCATCCTACCTTTGCATCCTTCACAAGTAAGGGCATTATAGTGGTAGCCAGAGGCTTTGTCACCGCAGACCACACAGAGCTCTTCTCCTTTCACTCTTCCTGTGGAGTGACCCAGTCTAGGCTTTTTGGCTGCAGGAATATCCATTATCTCTGTCTCCCTTGTGAAAAAGGTCTCTGAGGGTAACCTCCTGAGTTCATACATCCCAGGGGAATACCATTCCTCATGCTGTGGAGGGTAGAAGCCTAGGTTGGAGTAATAAGGTGGCGATGAGATCTGAGGCTGAACTTGGGGAAATGGCACATTGCTGTACTGTGCATAAGGTGACACATCTGCCTCTTGCACTGGAGAATTCATTGGTTCTGAAAGGACACCTGGAAAATAGTAATGCAAAACCAGTTTCTATTACTACCATTGAATTATAGTTATTAGAGAAGTTTCCACTTCCAGACATATATTTCAAAAACCAGGCAAAAACGCAGAGAGTGCATTATCTGAACTCAGAATTGCTGCACAAATACACGGCAAGAAGTCTGAAAAATAATTTATTTGTTCTCATATACTTCTTTATAATGGGTGGAAATGTTCAGCACTGGCAGTTACAAAAAAAAATCTTGAAAAATATTGTGCAGATAATAGTCTAATTGTTCAGTTTACAAGAAAGAGCAATCCCACCCCAGAGAAGTTAACAACCTAAATTAGGCCTAAAAGTGGAATGGAAGAAATCCAAAAAAAAAATTGAAAAAAACCCAGGGTATTGGGGAAGGCTAAATCAAGATTCAGACATCATGTTAATTTTCATTTAATTCTGAATGAATGCATCATGACAAACAAAAACTGCATTAGGGAAAAATGACAAGGGTGAGGTTTAATTAGAAGACTGAAAACATGAAATAAACCTTCAATTAGAGCCTGAAATAGGAAGGTGAGGTTACCAGGTAAGAACAAGAAAGATATTCCTAATATAAGTGGTGAAATGCAACCTTCTCACCATCCAGCCTCCAGTGGCCAGCCAGCCTCTGCAGCCTGGTCCCCAGCCCCTACAAGCCTGTGCCCTTCAGTGCAGCTGTACAGCTCTCATAGGAAGCACCTCAGCAAGCCAGCATTAGTCACCTCTGAGCCAGCATCAGACCTGGCAGTGGCACAAGGACCAGCAACCTTTCCTGTCAGGACCAACACAGCATCTGGAGGTTACCCTAACCTTGCTCATTAAAGAACATATTTAAAATTGCAGCCAACTGAACTCTCATTTCTTTTCTGTACTCCAAGCACAACAATATCTAGCAGTCCCTGGATGGTGTAGGTAAAATCAAGTCCATGTCAAACAACTGAGAAGTTGAATTTAAAAGTTATTTGCAATATTTATGTTACTTCTTATTTTCTGTTGGAGAAAGACACATCTTGCTGCTTAATGAAAACACTGACTCAATTCCTTCAATAGTTCCAAGAAGAGAGTCTGAGAAAAATAGTGCATATTTCCAGGAAGATGACCAGTCCAGTTTTGTTTGAATCAACAGCCGTATTTACAAGGAAATCATAGATTAATGTTCATTGGTGACCATCACTTAACAGTGCTTCAGAAGAACTCCAAAAACATTTTTGCTGACATAAAATTGGTCCCAGAGAAGTGTCCTTTTGTGAGGAATCAAAAACAATGAACAAATGCTGACAGTTAAGAAGAAGGAACATCTTTAATGACAAAAATAATTAAAATCTATAGCGGGGGATCCTTCCCTCTCCTTTGTCTCACTTCATTTAGTGCCAGGAACTAACCTTTAAATTACACCTGCTTTTTCACTTTCAAGGTCTCACCCTCTTGCTCTGCAGCTTTCTGCCCTTCCTATTTTACCATGCTGCAGGAGCCATGCAAGTGCTTTGGGTTTGTGTGGTGGCTCTATCATTGCCCACAGCACATCTTGGCCAATAACAAGTGCTGAGGTCCCAGTTCCAGAATAAGCAGCAAGATGTACATCTGGAAAAACGTGACACGAAACTAAATGGGAATAATAGTGCCCTTTATTACCAGCAATTACTTTAATTATAGTTGCATTTTGTTGCTCTGCAAGAGGCTGGGGCACCAAGTGCTGCAGTGGCAGAAGCAGAGTAGCAAAAGGCACTCCCCAAATCCAAGGCTATGCTATTTAAACAAAGAGTATAGACACACAGAGGGTGTCTGGGGACTCTATGAAAGTGACATTACAGCTTCATGCATCAGGTGCAAACTGTCACTGATAGCTGCCAGCCACAGCAGTGACAAAACAAGTAAAGGGTGAGGACACCAAAGATTTGATAACCAGTCCAGGTTTAATGAGTGGTAGGTCTTCAGCTGTATTTACCACTCGTTGAGACTGCTGCTCATGAAGACTGGTCAAGGTACTTCGGGTATAAAAGATGGGGTTAATTGTGGGATACAAAATCATTCAGTCTCTCTTTAGAAAGGAATCTATTCACTGTAGAAATCTAAGTTTTCATTTGCTAGTTAGTAATTAGTTGAGTTTGCTAAAAGACAGTGGGACAGTCCCAAAATGAAAAGGAAGAAACTGTTGATTTTTTTAGCTTTCTGCCATGCACAGGAAACTCCACAAAAGCTGTATACCAGCCTCTTGAACTGCTTGGGCCTCTGAAAGAGCAAGAAGGCAACATTCCTTCCACAGAAAAAAAAAATCTCAGGGCTTGTTAAAAAACTCAGAGCTACCAAACAACTGAGACAATGCTGGGGGTTTATTTAAACAACTGTAGAGCCATTTGGGTTACAAGTATGTTTAGAAAAGTCTTCCCAATCATTAATTCTACTCTGCTTCCAAAGGAAACAAACACAAAAAAAAAAAAAAGTATCTTAATTAATTAAATGCAGGAAAAAAAGTCAAACAACCCAAATCACCTCCTCTTTCCTTCCCTCAAACACAGTGTTAAACTATTTAGCTGAACTAAGTCCATGTTCAGATCAGTGGAAGGGAAAAGGAAAAACAGAGAGGTTTGAGAGAGACTGAGAGAACATGGTCTTGTTTTATGTAAAACAGACTTACAGCTTAAACCCTAGGAAGTGCTCAAAGACTAGTATGAATTTTGAAGTTAATAAGGTTGCAACTATGTAGGTTTTCCCACTTTAGCTTAAAGTTTTAAGGGTTTTTTTTGTTTGGTTGGTTTGTTTTAAGTAGACCTGAGCATGATCTACCTGTACGTGAGAGTCTAGACCAAATAATTTCTTATCACAAAAGAAAAGTAATCTTATCTTACCAAGCGGAATGTACATAAGCTTTTCTCCAGATATATATAATAGTAGAGGTCTGGGATGGACTGGTCTCATCCAGCTAAAGCAAGAATAGCCCAGTAAAATCATTGCAGTTGCAGTAGTAAAAAGTGAAATCAGAAATGAGCTCACTTTCACATGACTACACCGACATTTTGTTTGTGTGGTCTTAAACATTTTGAAGCATTTCTCGCTTTTTCCTTCTGAAATGTACCTTTCAGAATTTTAGGGAAGAACTATTCAAGCACAAACAAATGTTAAGTTATTTACAGCTGCAGATTTTTTCTATTTGCAAATCTTGTATTTTGTAAATAAGTGTTTTTCAATTAAAACCTTTTACAAAAATATTGAAAGCTTACTAAAAACAAAGTGAAACTTTCACATGCATGTGATCATTGTTTTACAAACATTTTTTCTACTTGCAACTGAAACTTATTAGAGAGTTTTATTTTTGTTACTTTAAATTTTACACAGAATAGTTTACATGAAACTTCAAAAGGTATTTCACTTGTAGAAATATTCCTTGCAGGAATAAAGAAACTGTTTTCAGTTCACAGAATTACACTGAGATTTTGTGTAAGAGGACTAAATTCTAAGTGTGTTTAAAATATGAATCCCTGGCTCTCCTTCATTATTCATGAAGGAACATTAAAAAAAAAATAAATTCAGAATTAGGTAATTCAGAAACCTTGGCATAGCCATTAACAAAATCCTGGTTTAATTCCAAACAAATTATTTGCATATCTTGTAAAGATCGCTTGGTTTAAAAAATCTACTAGCATCCTACAATATCAAGGAAGAGTGCAAGAATAGATAAGTGAGAATATGGCAATATCCTACCTCAGGCTGTGTTCAGTCTGACCATTTCTTGACGAAAAATACTCTCCTTAAGGTGCTTCAGTCCTTGTTTCCCCTCTCTTTTTTCTTTTTTACCTCCTAAAGCCTATATGTATATGAAACTTCTTAATTCTGCTTTGTCTGTGTCCTGTTCACTTCTTTACTGTGAGAACTTTCTTTAAGATTAGAAAGGAGTGACACAGACCAGAGGTTATATAGTTTACTAATTAACTTCATTACGAGCAACTTGTTTGTAAATGCCGGAAACTATGTCTGTTCCCAGTGTGGGTTTAGCTGGGTAAAATTTGGTCACCAATTTGAGGGGATGCCTCCAAGTAGCCCAGCCATTGTATTTTTGTACCTATTGTGGTTTAGTTGCAATGAAATATTGTATCAATAAATATTTGGTAAGGTCAGGTGATTCTGTGCAATAGATTAACCAGTCCAGTATCACAGGAGGCAGTTTTTTTAAGTGCAGAAATGCTGCATTCTCAAAAAAAAAAAAAATCTCAAAGTGCTCAGACCATACTGGACACACATGTATGACAAGATAGAATGGTTTGGGCTGGAAGGGACCTTAAAGATCATCTAGTTCCAAACCCTGAAATAGGAAGGACACCTTCCTCTTGAACAGGTTGCTGAAAGCCACATCCAATCTGTCCTTCTCATTAAATTTTTTACTCACAATGCCACTCTGCTTGGTTTAGCTCTCTTAATAATTATTATGCATCCAATGTTTTCTGTTTTAATTTGTGCTGGTTTGTTTCTTCTTGATTTGGGGGTCAGTTATGAGCCTAATTATCTTCTCTGCAGGGATGAAGCCAGATGTTGCATCAACTGCCGGGTGGTGCTAAAGACAAGAAGTCATTTAACATATCTTATGATCTTGAAGCTGTTTAATCAGTTTGGACACTTGACCCTACTAACTTTTTATTACTATTATTTATTTTTTTAAAAATAACAAAAAAAGAAAGAAAACAAAAACAAAAACAAAACCCCCTCAAACCCCAAAACAAAGTAACAATAACAAATTTTTAAAAACAAACAAAGAAAATCAAACCAAACTGAACCAAACCAAGGAAAAAAAACATAAAACCCCCACAGATTTATCTAAAAGAAGTCAGCCTTTTAAGCTCCTCTTAGGCACTCTTCTGTGTCTACAACAGTTTTCAATGGTATTTCTTATTCTTTCATTAAGAAGTTTAGATGTATTGCTTTTTTCCCCCTTTGCTTGCGTGTCATTTCTTTTTCTTATTCTTCCTCATCCTTTTCAATGCAGCATATAAGAATGTTAATTCCCCCCAAAACTTCTTTTCCAGCTAGAGATATGTACAGTGAGGGTGGCATTTCTTGTCTTGTTATATTTTAATGTCACATCACAAGAAAAAATTTTCAGGCCATCAAAAATACTTGAAAATGCTTAAAATAGGTCTTCATTCAAACTAAGCATGTAATTTGCTTTTAAGGTTCTTAGAAATAATTCCATTTCTGATATCTGAAGTTTCACACTTAGAATCTTGCATACTAGCAACTTCTATATAAGGTGCTTTCACAGAAAATAAAATGGAGCTAGTGCTTTAGAGGCCCGCTACTTACTTATCATAGAAATAGAAAATTTGAGTCACATACTATATATATTTCAGGTGCCACACAAATATATCACCTTTCTAAATCACCTGAGTAGAGAGTTAGAAAAAGAGAAACAGTTTTGCAGGAAGACAGAGTGGAAGGGAAGGACCCTCACTCTAACTAGGTTAAAGATCTTTCCTCACTTGCATTTGAAGGCCCTTTTCCCAGGGACTCATAACTGCAGAAATTAAAAGCTATGGTTAAAACACACTAAGACATACCAAGATACTTCACATTAGACATATACTGTTAAAATGGCAGCCTACAGTTTTCATCTACTGAAAGATAGAAAACCTTTTTTCTGAAGTGTGCTGCATCTAGAAGTCTTGAGGCTACAGATGTAGAAGTGCCCTGGAATTGCCATGGTGATGAGGCTCAAAGCACAAGCAACTCAGAACTGACATTTCTTTTGAAAGACCTGAACCTGGAGCTAATGTCTGGAGATGCAGTTGAATTTGCTTCTGAAGGTCTAAGAACAATCTTCTTGTAGACTGAATAAAGCATAGGGAGAATAAAATGTATTTACAAGGGTTTTTTTTACAGAATGTGAGTATGCATCTTTGAATAAAGGAGATTGGTTTGTAAAGGGTAACGTTTGTAAGCCAGAAATTTTTAACTTGTGAGCTGCAATATATGAGAAGACCTAAAAGAAACATGCATTATAAGGACCATCTAAAAGAAAAGCTTCCTTCCTGTTTTCTGGGGTTCACAAGTCACTTCCTGCCAAAGCTGAATGTCAAAAATTGCAAATAATTTACAAAGATAAAGAATTGAGAGGCAAAATCATTTTCTAGAAGTGTTTTGCAAAGATGGAGTCATATTTTCACAATGAGTAACTTTCTCTGCACTCGGTAGCATGTTAGTTCTGATAGGCTTTTTTCCAGCTATAAAAGCAAAAGAGAAACCATATTAGAGTGACACCCCACAAAACAAAAGCCAGCTTAAGTGAAACACAGCAGGACTGCTAAGTTTCCTTCCTAATGGGACCCCTGATTCAACTCTTTAATGCATTATTTCTGTTACAGAAATGTCAGTATGAATTAAATCTCCATTGTGCTAAACTCTGAACACCTATAGTGAGAGACACAATCCCTCTTCTGGAAGCTTCACAGTTTGTAAGAAAGGGAAAGTATTTCACATTAACGTTTTTCCTTGTATTTTCAAGCAAACTTATCATTACTCCTTAAAAATAATGAAATCATTAATGAAAAAGTAGATATTGGGGGACATATTTCTTGACAAAAATCTGAAGTAGCTTGGGTGTGCAGTTTTGAAAGATGATTGGATATAAAATTTGACACCCTAGATCTGAACAACATTCTCCTCTCTGTACATCATGGCCTGACATTGGAATTCAGAGGTAGCAAAGGAGATGTTTGGCTGCTAGCATATACTTTTTTAACAACTCCAAAACATTTCTTCAACCAAACCCCAAAACAAAGAGGGATAAAAGCCAGTAACACACAATAATGGAGTGGGCTCTGCTTGTCATTAGTGATCATGCTGTATTTTAGCTGTATGGAGCCAGGTGACTGCAGGTGGTCTGACCTGTAGAGGTGGTCCTGACTTCCAGGAGCTCTGCATCCAGAGTCCTTCCTTCCAGGCCCCAGGCACTACTCTTGTTTCCGACAGATGAAACCAGAATGTGTTCAGTTTTTCCAGCACTCAAAAAGGCAGAATTCTGCTCTTATTTGGACTGAAATTTCTGAAGTGTTGCAGCATTTTGTGGGGGGTCTGTACTGTGTGAGGCCCTCAATGTATCATAACTTACTCAATGAAAGACCCACTCTCTTGTCAAATGAAGGGCTAAAAACGTATTATTCTCTGGTTTGTTTGTTTTTGGTTTTTTCTGAGCAGTACATATACCAAAAAACAGCTTACCCACGCTTATAAAATATTGACCAAGAATTTTTCATTCATTAACAAACGCATGTTTAGCCTTGAAAAATTCAGTGGAACTGGAGCAAGAATCTTCCAGCCTGCTTTATAAATTTTCTTGTGCACTGAAGTTACTAGGATAAGTTTTTAATGGTCTTAATAAGACAAAGATTTTAATTTAGGTGAAATTACTTTCATAAATTTGCATAATATGGCAATGCAAATACATTGCACTATAATTTCGTTACAGATTAACTGGAAATATATCTGCTCAGCTTGATTTAAGTGACTCACATCAAGGCAACATCCAGCCTCCATACAAAGGTCTGTTTTTGCCTAATGATCTCCAGTATTAGAAGAGTGTTTCAAAAACAACCTACAGGTTCTGCTGTGAGCAGTGATGAGAACAATGATGTGCAGGATTACATTAACACCACACTTTGTTTGTTATTCCTCTCATAAGTGTTGAAGATTCAAGAAGGTCTGCACATTTCAGCCATATATCCTTGACTTGAAATTTCAGTCCATTTTCTTCTGGGTTTCTGAGTATAGGGCAGCTTGCTATTTCAACCTAATTTGGTGACTTACCAAACAAATGAGAACCTTCAGCAAGAGGAAATCCATCAGCAGTGGCAAGCTGATGATGTCCTATTAAATTCATTTCAGATCCCATTTATTCTTCAGTTCGGGAGGGATATGCTGATTAAACAGGAGGTTGAAAAGAGACCCTGAAACATATGAAGCAAAAAAGAATATTTAAAACAAGATAACTAACTTTTGTGTACCTAGTGTAAAGCAGGATGCAGGAGGTTGTTTCAATATTTGCTGTAACAAACATTGTCTTGAAATTGCAATACCTAATTCAGTCTTTAAATAAAATGCTACGTCCAACCTGTTTGTTTTTTCCTTGTTGCAGCATATTTTATTTGCTCTCTTTTTGTTCATTTTAAATGAATAGTGGTTCATGCCCAAATTTATTTAAATATTCAGACTGAAGCACTGGCCTGACCTCCTGGGACGTGCTGCCTAGCCCCTCTGCTATGCAATGCCAATTGTTTGCATTATTTTTCACCACCTTTTCATAATTTCATTGCTTTCACTTGCTGAAAAAGCGTAAGCTTATGGTTAGATCAGAAGAACACAGACAGGAAACTTGAGTTTAATTTCTAGGGACCAGCTCTTTATCTTGTCTTCAGTAATTACCGAACAAGATAAATGGTGACAAATGCAGAAAGCCAAGCCTTGCTCTGATAACCAGGCTCGCCCTTTTGCTCTCCCTGTGGTCTCAAGCAGCCCCATAACTCTCACCTGGAGAGGCTGGGACAGATGGGAATTCCCTTGCCCAGCTCACATGGGTGGAGTGGGCAACTGCAGACTGCATTTGGGTCAGGACCAACAGGAGAATATGAGCTCCAACAAGTAGATGTCTCAAGGGCTTATACAGACACCAAGAGGATTCTGCATAAAGCTGTCAGCAATCTGTTTTACTTTGTATTATCGTCTTAATTCTTTATTTGGTTTTATTAGCGTGGGACTGTCCCTGGAACTACATTTCCACTCACTGAAGGCATTTGAGAGTTACAGCCCAGTCTGCTTCCCAGTGAGGGCTCAGCAGGTTTCTGGAGGAGAAATGAAGTCATCTGACAAAAACGTGAATGCTGCAGGAGGCCCCAGTGCTGAGCAGGCTGGGAAGCAGCTTGTGAGAGTGGCAAGCACACTCTGTAATTATATTCAGATTTGTCCGTAAGGATTCATTAAGTTCTTTCTTAACATAAACAGAGGCCCTCTAATTAGATAGATGCATTTTAAATGTCTGTCCACAGATAATTTAAACAGTTTACTTAGAAATGTCAAAAGCTACTTGTATCACAGACCAGATAGAGTTCTTGTGGCAAATCACATGTAAACACAGAGTCTCAAATCTAGCACAGAAACATAGTTTTGCAGCAGCAGGAAAACTCCAAGTATCTTGGATGGGGTTTGGCAACTAGCCCAGCCACCCCACTAGGTCCACGTTTACTTCCAACCATTTTACTGCCTTGCTGCCTCATTTTCCAGGGAAATTATCTGCTGAAATCAAGAGGTGGGGCTATCTACATGGCTCTAAGGTCTTAAAATTCCTGACAGACAGATTTCTTATTAAATACCCAAGACAAACCCTTGGGATGGGATTCATCTTACAGCCCATTACAAGTGTTCTGTGATGGGAGAAGACAGTGGCACAGTCAGGACCATTACAACTGGCAGCAAGAAAAACATCAAAAGGAGGTATTTTCAGAGGGCTAACGAATATTTTTCTGGATTTTCTTGTTGAAGACCAGCGAAGAGAGGCCATCAGCACTCTCTCCTCATGTCCCATCCCTTTAATATCTTCCTTACATCCCATGGGAGCACAGCCCTTGGGGTTCCTTGCAGGATCAGCTCTCCTTACAGCCAGATGTGAAGACTGTTCCATCACTGCTACTACTTCTCATGTCTCCCCATCAACCTCTGTTTGAGGGCCTAACACTGCAACACCTAACATCAGCACTGGGATTGTGAATTTCTGTATGTCCACAAGGAACTTAGAATTTATCTTCTTAGGGAATGTTGGAAGTTATATCAAAATACTTTAAATGCATAATATTTAAAAGTATTTATAGCCAATATATGGTCAGGTTTTCAATGCATAGCTTCTTAGCTTGCAAGTTTTATATTCTATTTTTATATCCTGTTAGTTTGTGCTGCAAATAAAGAAGAAAGTGGGCAAGCTACGTCTCTAAAAGCTTATAAAGTGTCTATGTTTTTACAGCCTCTTTGATAAGTCTATTAACTTCCTTCTCATTTCTTTGAGGACATTCCCTTTTTTAACATATCATTGTATAATGTCTCTCTTTAACCTCAAGATGGACTCTTTAAAATTTATTATTCTTTGCATACACACACAAAAGACCAAACCTTCATGTTAATAATATTGCCCTGTTGACAGTTAGAATCATGAGTACATATTTGTAATAATCTGCACTATTGTAGGGCATTACAGGTTTTGTAATTCTACATCTCCTGCCACATAAGTTTTTGTCTGGATGGATTCAGTTCAAGCCAAATGTTCATGATGATTTTACAATTCCCACCGTTTTAATACTTCATTTTCTTTAATATATCCAGCTGATGTAGACCATTTACTAGATTTCAGTGAAGAGATTACTCCTATCTTCTTGGAGTTTCTGCAAGGCACAAAATCACCATAAAAAAAGGCCAGAAATATATTTTCCAATGCTTCTAGCTTTGGTACTGCAAATTTCACTGAAAACCAGGCTTCATTAAATACTGATTGATATTTAGCTTTGATTTTCTCCTGCGTCCAGCCTGCTGTGAGCTACCTAACCTACATTAGACTTATCCATATAATTAGTTTCACATGCATTTAAAAGCAGCAGGTGCTGATTTCCAGCTCCAAGACCAACACTAGGTACACAGTACAGAGCATTTAAGCTACACTTACTGCATACATTGTTCAGTTCTGGGAAATAATGTAGGTCAATGTATTGGACTGATACTCCATCCTGAGGTGTAAGAACAAAAACAAAGAGTATCCAACACGTAAAAACTGAAATGAAGGCAATAGAAACCCAGGAAATCAATATTGCTCTCCAAAATTAGAGCCCTTCAAGAGAAAAGAAGAGGCATGTGATAAATTAGACAGCTTCCTTTCCCAAATAATTTTTAGTTAAATAAATAAAATAAACCAATTTACTCCACCACCATTGGAAATTATTTTCATAGGCCAAAATATACAGCAAAGAAAAACAGAGATCAGTATGTACAAAGTAAATTATGTGCCCAACTGCTTGAGATTATTGTCTTCAACTGCATGTTAAGGGCTCCAAATTGCATAAAATTTTATTACATGCAACTTTAATATACTTCAGATCAATCAATGTATGTTTACATGTGCTATGTTTAACTAAGAAAATTTACATGTATATTATTATATATGGGGCTTGTTTTTCTACTTTATGGGTGTATATCCATATTTATTCAGATTTCTTATGGGTTATATGTTCATCGAGGTATGCAAATATGTACATATACACGATTGGGCTTATTATTGAACTCTAGGTTTCAGATTTATTGTGGGCTCTTATCTGTGCACTACCCCTGGCCTTTGCTATGGTCAATAGCAAAGCTTTCCCTGGCTTCTGTGTAAGCAAAGCCAAGTCTCTTACTGAAATAATTAAAGTTAAATCAACTGAGCTCACTGAAAACAAAAGCATAATGGCTCCACGCTTTCAAGTAATGTAAAAATACATTTGATCATCAGAAAAGCTCCATGACAATCCAACTGTGGTTTACCTTCAGAAGAATAATTGAATCTATTTCAATTACTCAGCAAAGGAAGATATATCAAAGCACATGCAAAATCTTCTACAAATATTAGTGAAGTACATTTCCTTCCATCTGTCCCATATATTTTCCTATTCCTCACACATCTGACTGCCTATTGCTCAAAGAGAAATTTCGGTAACGTCATTAATCTATGGCCCAATCCAAACATTGTTAACATCAATAGGAAGATAGATTCCCATCTCATTCATAGGCTTTTGATGTGGCCTCATAGCCTTTCTGTAGAATATTTAATGTAGTGCCTCAGTTATTTGAGAAGCTGTTTTATTTGCTTACCTGTTTGTTTTAAAGTGTATCAACGGGACCTGAAAGCATTAGGAAGATTCATGCTCTCTATTTCCAGCCTGCTGCTTTCAGGTCATTTTGGCAAGCACAGCACTACAGGCAACTACACAGCAACTGAAGCAAAATGCAAGCAACCATACAAGCAAGTTTAAGAAGCAGAGGCAGGACTAGTATTATTGTGTTTGTTTGAAATTTTCTGTTACATTTCTTAACATCGAGATTAAAATCAGAGCAGGAAAGAGACACGGGACACAGAAAAAAAAAATAGAATATTCCTACTTCTTAATTCTGAAGCAAAATCAGGTATCTGAGTCCCAAGCAGAACTAAACACTCTATGAGAAGTATCAATGACATTTCTGTAGCACGTTAATGACTTCAAGGAGTGGGGCCAGCTTCTGACTCTGCCTGGAATTATCTCCTAAACACCATTTTTATGTTTCTTGCTTTCTCCAGTATCTTTTTCATGTCTCACATGAAAAAACTGCAAGCTCTTCACTACTAACTTATTTTTGGACAGACATTTAGACTAGTGCAATTCCAATATAACTCCCAATCTCTAGGTTTTCTGTAACACAAGCAATAACAATAAAAATAACAAAAGCGAAATGTGTTCCGCCACAGTTATAGTTTTCTGAAGATAAATGAGTAGCAGGAACACTCAGAGTAGAATTACATTTTCTTAAAAACTAGCAATGGATTCACATACTAATCACTTGAAATTTGAAACCCCCTTTTACTTTTCCTAGTTATGTGAAATATGTGTTAAAGTCTTCAACTTTGGAAGATGCATTTGGAATCTGTACACAGAACTATCAAAGAAAAAACTGTATGAAACAAATACAATTTTCCCTTTCCGGATTTTTCTCTGTTCTCCTATTAATCACATTGAAAATATTTCCTGTTTCTAAAAGGATAAAAAAATAAATATATAGATCATTTCAAAGCTAATTTACACAATGAACTAGATAGTGCTGTTGCAAGAAAGTCTCAATATCAAACTTACGCCTTCTGTTCCAGTTGCACACAGAAGCCAGCTTTCTAAAGACAAATTTCAACATGACCTTATTTTTCACCTTACCATTTTTCCCAAGGGTAACTCCTACTGTCGAGACAGCTTTGTGCATGAAATGACTTCTTACATTATTCTTCACTTTAATTTTTTTTTTCCTGATTAAAAATCCATTAACATCCACTAAATAATTCGGGTGATAAAATTACTTTTATATTACACAACAGCAAGAGCTATCAGTTTAAGGAATTATTACTTACTGTTCTTTTCTGGAAGACTGCAGATGGCAGGATGTAAGACAGTTCTGCTCTCAGTTCCAGTATCCTAATGATTCTCACATAAGAACATTTTTGTTTTGTTTTTCTTTCATGTTTAGCAGAAGCCTGTAGTGATAACACAATGAATCAAAGCTTGGGTTTATTGGCTCAGTGCCCTAATGGACAAGGATTACTCATTAACAATTCTTTCTTTGCGAAACTCTCCAAACATGGGCTGTATTAAAATGTTGTGAATTCCAGCTTGGCCATCAGCACAGAGATTTGAGATGCTCGTTAAGACTCTGATCGGCTGTGGAGGGGAAGTTAACTCGGTGAGAGTACCTTGTTGCTAATTATAACACTTTCCCTGCACATGTACATTGTAATGACATCCTCAACCTCCTTGTCTTTCCCATCCAAAGAGCTCAGGTGTTATTCCAAGATATAAACTTGATTTTTAAGTCTTTCTGTTATTTTTTGCACTTTTAAGGGAGACTGAGCATTACACTGAGTATTGAAGCAGAATAGACTATAAATTACAGCATCACAGGGATGTGAGGATATTACAGTTTAATTCCTGTATCTGCAACAATCTCTAAAAAACTGCATCCTTTTGATTTGGGCTCATCACATAAAGCTTTAGACAAGAAACTGAGGCCCCTAATTTTAAACCCATCAGACTCATGCACTAGTTGTGCACAGGGGGAAGAAATTGGTACATGTAGATGGAAAACCACTTTTGGTGAGTGGGTTGCACTGTATCTGAAAATGCTGATGTGTTGTCACTGACATAAAGGGGACCTTGAACTACCACATCCCCATTTACCCTGCAGAGGAAATTAAAGTGAAGAGGAATGGATTGAGGCTGTTTTATTTCAACATTCCACCTACACAGGAAGCATGATAACTCCCTGGTTTGCATTGCTAAACATATCCAGTGGGCATGAGTTGATCTGGCAGTGGTACTGAGACAAATTTCAGTCAGAGGAGACTATTGACACCATCACTCATGGTAAATGAGTTCATGATTGCCACACAGTATATGATGTCCATCCTTCCCTACATATTTACACTGTCTGAGCAAGACTGAATACACAGACACAGGCTGTGCCTCCTACTTGAGCAAAGAGAGGCATTGGGCAGCAAACACGGTCCTTTCTCTGAGAAAGGTGAGAGCTGCTGGCACTAAAATTACTTTACTTTTAAAATTCCTCATTTTAGGAGGAAAAATATACTTTAAAAAGGTATATTAATCCTCAAGCTTTTATAAGGGAAGCTCAAATTCTCTATAAATTCTTTATACTTCTCATGAAAATATTACTAATAATGAGTCTCTTTTCTGTGTTCTGTCCTTTGCAAATTCAGCTGTTAGCCACCCAAACACTCATGGTAGGACAGATTTCTGAAGAGAGCAATGGGAGAATGATGCTGCAAGGCTGTCACTGGATACTAACTCCCAAGGGACTACTGTTTCCAGGGATTTATGCCTACAGCTCATTCCAGCAGGCTCTGGATATTTCTGACTCTCTGAACACCATCTCTGTAAACAATGAGATTTCTTTTTGACAAATTCACTTTTAGCAAAATCAACAAAGTACTTTCAAGTAAGAAAATTCTTCCAAAACAGCCCTACCCACAGGAGACAGGCGGTCTCTTCCACCCAGCACACCAACAGCCCATCTGGCACTTTCCACTCTATGTCCATTCCAGGGGTGCCTAGAAAACACATGCCAAAAAAACCAATTTATTTGGTCATCCTGAGGCCAGTGATGGGTTTTGTCCTATACCAGGAGAAAAAGCAGGAGTGGAGCCAAGAAGTCCAGCAAATGTAATATTATGTCTCATGGAGCTTTCAGTCTCTTGGTAAGTTCCAAAGATCTGAAATTTTCTTTTCATCATTCAGCTTCCCCCAGCATTGGTCTGATATAGTTGGTGGCACAGAAAAATTGCTTTTTAGAAGTCTAAATTTCAATAAATATTCTTTCCCAAAAAGCATTTTCCTCTGTGTGGATTTTGTTTATCAGACAGCTAATTTGTTGCATTAGAATATTTTTCCTTTCCATACAATAATAAAGAGGCAAGTGCCAAAGTGATGCTTTGTCCACTAATCAATACATTCAAGATATTATTGGAAAAAGCAAAGAAATAATCTACATTATCAAAGGAGGAGATGTTGCCTATAGCAATGACATGTGGCATTACTGTTTAAAGCCAGGTGTTCATATTTATTATGGTTCATGTACAAATTAGAATTGAAGAGAAAGGAACTGGAGCAAATCAAATATATCTTCTGTCCTGTGTCAAGAGATTACATCACAGCATCAGGGGAGAGAATAGAATGAGGAAATATTCAAACACAGATACTTATATATGGAATATTTTCTCTAAGGTAGCATTGCCTTCTGTAATTTTTAAAATTTCAGAATGTTATCTGACATCCTGAAATTTTTCCAGACAATAGTAACATTACTTCTGCAGTTGACAAAGAGCATGTGTTCTATACTACAGCTATGCCATTACCAGCCCAAATACATGTTCAGCAACAAAATCAGGGCTACAGATAACATTCAGAGCTAGAAATCTTTCTGCCTAGAAAATATCACTTCATAAACTTCACACTCCAAGAAAGAATGGGGGTGTTTGCCATAGCTCATTTGCTCCTCCTCCTGCTACTCCATCTTTTCACCACTGAAATAAATGCCATTCCACACTTTCAGTGAGAAGGTACTTCATGGAAAGGAAAGACGAATCCTGGCAACAAAGTAGTTTGCCATCAAAACTTTGGATGGGAAAAATATAGTACAGAAAGAGATAGGGGGAAAAGAAGAAAAAAGTAGGCTAGGTGTTCACCTTCAACATTTCCTTCTCTCCACATCCAAATGAATGCATCATCACACATTAAAAATCTAAAATAATACACCCAGAAATAACGGTACCTGCTCCTTTTTGGTCAGAATTTTCTTCCAGCAGCTGAAAAGCTTACTGACTACTCACAGCCAGTTTTCTGGAGCTCCAACAACATTGTATACATGACAACTGTAGAACCATTCAGGTTGAGGAAGACCTCTAAGGTCAATGAGTCCTACCATTAACCCAGCACCACCAAGTCCACCAGTAAAACATGTCCATGAGTGCCACATCCACACAACTTCTAAATACCTCCAGGGCTGGTGACTCGAGCACTTCCCTGGGCAGACTGCTCCAATGCTTGACAACCCTGGTGGTGAAGAATGTTTTCCTAATATTCAATCTCAACCACCTCTGGCACAACCAGAGGCAGTTTCTTTCCTGCATTAGATAGTCATTACCACAGGGAAGGTAAGGCTGAGGAGCTAAAGCCAGATAGATCTCTACAATGGATTAATTTCTCTGTTCCCCAAGATGCAAAGGGAGAAACCTCCTATCTTGCCAGTGGGAAAACATATCTTCTTGGCCTAGGGATTCCTGGGAACATCTTGGGGCAAGTGGGAATTGCAAGAAGGAGTAGGTCTGGTTTGGCTGAAAGATAAATCAGCTTTTCCAACTGGCACCAGGAGCTGTCAATACCTGGAAAACACCTGGGCATTTCTGACAAAAGATCCAATTTACATCAGTCACAATGAGTGAGATACTTGGATATGTGTTTATTTCATAGGCCAAAGGTCAGTGTCTTGACCAAGACCTACTTGTCCTCAATTACTTCTTTTTCTCTATTCTTACAGCTCCTGGAATGAATGGTACTGTAGACACCTGAGAGATCATGTGAACTAAAATGTGCCTCAGCATAAACCATCAGTTTCAGCATAGAAAGTGTTCACAACATGACCATAAACAGTTGCCACTAAACAGCAGTTGTCCTCAGCTCTTCTTTCATCCTGTGGCACACCTTATTTATCATTGCTATTTATCATTGTATCCCAGAGGATACACATCCTCTACACCACTTTGGGCCATGGTCTCTCTCCTCAAAATAGCCATTTCTTACTCTCAGGCACCCTCACGTTTTCATTTCTGAAAAGATGTCCAAGATTATCACAAGCTGACAATAAATTTTATCATCTGAAGATAATTAAGCAATCGTAAGAGATATGGTTGTTTATGTACAGGTTAAAGTAAGAAATGGGTGCAAAGTTTCAATAAGTTAACTCTAATGTCTCAATTTATTTTTACCTCCTGCATTTCAAAAGTGGAGAAAAAAACACTTTTCAGATTAGTTTGTTGAATAAGTCTTTCATTAATCAGATGGTCTTCATTATAAGTTGCTCTCTGATTATTCCGTTTCTGAGCAGGGCATCATTTATTCAATAATCTTATATTTTGTCCTGATTGAATAATCTGTCTTTGTCACTTGCATATTTTAAGTGGAATGTCATGAAGGGTAAAATGGCCACAGAACAATCTGTCCTAAGAGGGGGAATTCCTCCCTGCTGACAGGCAGTTAATTGTTAGCCAACGTGCTCTAGTGAGACCATATATGTAAGATACCATCTTACAGCTGCCAGGGTGCAAGAGGAGAGCTGACTATATATAGTGGAATCAACTACAGCATCAAACGTTAAGTTTCAGCAGGGGAAACTTGGTCTACTTCCCTCTAGCTGACTCAACTGAAATTTCTGATGTGTTTTTCTATTAATAATTGCTGGTATTCCACATTAGATTATCTCTGATTATTTTAAATTTTAATTAAGGCACCGATACTACATGTTCTTCCCCACACTTACTCCCTTCTAGAGGTTACAAGTTTACAAGTTCCTAAAGAAATCACAGCTTTAAATTAAACATGTTGGTACAGTATTAGCTGATAAGAAGTTCTCCTCGGGCAAATATACTTTATACTTGCATGTTTTTTCTCTTGACATTTTGATGTTTTACAGTGTGATAGTGATTGAGTTCAATAAGGGTTAGCTTTCATTTATGTAAATATTTGGAGAGATAAAATTGTTAAGAAATGTTGATCTATTCCA